CTTATTTAAGTGGATATAGTGTGGCTACACTCTTTGTTTTGTCACTTCTTGAGCACTTTTGAGAGTTGCACCTTTATGCTTAATTGGTGAGCCAATTGGCATGCATGCTTGTATATGCTTTTGGTGTCCTCATTTTAGTATTATGGTCACTGATTTGGGCATGGCTGAGGTCTGTCTACATTTGGTTTAAGTCCATTTTTCATGCTTACATTGCATCATGTTGTTGCATGCTTATGTTGCCTTGCTTTGTGTATGCATGCATTAGCATTGTTTGCATGTCATTAGCTTTGTTAAGTTGATCATGTCACATTGCATTGAGTATGTCATGTTGTTATTTGCATTGTGCATGCAATGTTATTCTTTGCATTGTGTATGCCATGTAGTTGCATTGTGTTTTTCATGCCTTGCATTGCATGTTTGCATGCTTAAGTTGCATTGCATGTTTGCATTGTGTTTGGATTAGGTGTTAGTCTAAACACGAGAAACGAGGGACGTTTCATACTTAAAGTAATGAAACGTGCCTCAATTCTCGGTCGCTGACATTCTTGATCATACATGATAGAGTTCAAGGCTTTATGTGTTTATGTGTGCATTCATTTCATATTGAATTGTGCAATTTGGCTTCTTGGCCATCATGCATTGAAATGCGCAATTAGTGGCCCCAGGGTCGAGAACCACACTTCCTTGAGATCATGAAATGATAGAGAGGGTGGTTGTGCTAACATATGTTGCAAATACATTGCCATGCCCTTTCTTGCTCTCTGTTGCAGCAAACTGGAGAAGTGCAGCAACAAGTGGTCGGCCAACCAGAAAAACTAGCTGGCCGACCACTTTTTCTGGTCTGCAACAAAGAAAAGTGGTCGGCAGGTGGTTGGCAACTCCAGAAAGTGGTCGGCCATGTTCCTACATGTTCCCATGGTGGAGTTGAAGCTTTGTGGAGCTTAGTGCAAGGTTCTAAGAACAATTGCAAATAGAGGCAAGTTGGGGCATCGCGATGGATTTCCGAACGAGGCGACCGAGCATGCATGCACTTCTCATCCTGAGGGCCTCTCTTTACTACTTTCCTTAGCTAGTTTATGCTTTGGTTCTGTATTTAAGTAGTTAATGTGTTTAGCTGCTTATTTGTTTTGTAATAGTTAGTTAACTAGGAATAGTTAATTAGCATTGTTTGTAATAATTAGTTTAATTAGCTTAGATTAGCTAGTTAGCTTCTTATTCGGACCCTTCGTCGAGAGGGCCAACTATCGTAATAAGCATGCGTGTGTGTGATGCATGCCTTCCAACCCCCATTTCTTTCTCCCTTTTACTTACCCGCTTACGATGGTTAGTTTTAGGACATGTTTCAATTAGCATACTTATGCTTCGCATGCGTGCATCCATTCATCTGTCTTACATGCACCGGGCTCGGTGTATCATACTAACTGCATTGTATTTCAATTCCAATTTGAATACATGTAACAAGTTGCATTTAACATGACATCTTAGAATAGTCGAGCCCATTTCTAGTTGTATTTTGCATGTGTTGCATTAGCTATCTTAACATGAACTAGGATCATGCATTTGATTACTAACTAGTTTCTGTTTTGGCTTGGAGTACTAGGTAAGCATTTACACTTTAGCATCCTTGCATGTGTGTGAGTGTTGCCATGACAGTATGCTTACCATGAGGCTATTTGCGTATGTGATGTAACTGCCTGAATGCCTGTGGGTGAAGGTTGGATTGCTTGAATTGGGACAATTCATTGAAATCCGTATTTTAGCCAA